CCAGTGCTGTGCATGGAGTCATTCCAGTAGGATAAGTCTGTGTGGCTGAGGCACCTGGAGGAAGACATCTGGAAAGATGTGCAACAAAACAGGCTAAGAGTATCTACTGCTGAGGTGACCTGAAGGACAGGGGGAATTCTAACTCTGAGCTGTGCTGTCTTCAATTGTTTCTAAAAAGCTACACAGGTTCTCTTAAGATCTCTTTATGCTGGGTTGAGCCCAGGGCCTCATGCATGCTAAGCACACTGCCGGGCTGAGCTCCACGCCCAGCCTGACCCCATTGCCCAAGGAGGCTGGGCTGAGGCAGCCGCCTGCTGGAGCTGGCTCTGCTGGCAAAGGGCACCCACTCCTTCTCACCATCGTCCCAGGCCAGCGCTGGGTCTCGCACCTGCCCTAGTGCCAGCTACCTCTTCCTCCCACATGACCCTTCGAGGCCTGAGCTGGTGTAGCAGATATGGTAGAGTCCATGGGGAGCCACAGGGAAAGGGACAGAAGCAGAGAGAGCAAGGCAGACATGGGCTCTCAGGCCAAGACAGAGATCCAGGAACAAGGAAGAGACGCTAGGGCAAAAGAGGAGCCAGGCCAGTCAGCAGGAGCCTTGCACCCGCTGCCAGCTGGCCCTTGGGGATCCCGAGCCCTAGTTTGAAGCCAGTGGAAAAGAGTTCAGTGGAGAATGGGGTCCATGCCCTCTGCCACTGCAGCCCTGCAGTGAGATCCCAGTGGGGGAGCCAGATGGCAAGGACAAGGAGCCCCCACAGAGGAAGCCTGCTGACAGGCCCTGCCACCCTTGGCATCTGATGCCACTCGGACCTCTCTAAACAGAGAAAAAAGAGACTCTTGTGTGCCTCATTCCCCCCTTAAACTCTGCTGTGCCACCAGGTCCAACCTGCGCAAAAGGTGGAGCTGGTGGGACCCAAGGTCCAACACCACCCCTGGACAGAGCAAGCTCAAAGAGCCCAAAAGCATAGCCTCACCGGGCCGGGCCAGGGCTTCACCCAGAGCCCAGACCCTTAGGAGCTCAGCATGCTTGCTCTGGTACCTCGCAAGCGCCCAATCCCAACAGATGCAAACTCGCACACCCCATCCCTGCGCTCCCTCACCTCCGTTTCCTTTCTGTCCACAGCCCACATCAGCCAGACACCAGGTCATCATCCCAGCATCCCTGTGTCCTCAGGCCCTGACCTGGGTCCCACCAGCTCCACCTTCTGTGCATGGGAAGCAGCCTGGGCTGGAGGTTTAAACACAAAGTCCTCGGATGTGAACCCTTCTGATCAAGGACCGGCTTTCACCTGAGTGTAAGTCAAGGCAAGTTCCTTAACAACTCTCAGCTTTTTTTTCCTTTTTTTTTTTTTTTTTTTTTTGTCCTTTTCATTTTTATCAGTACCTGGGGATCAAACTCATGACCGCCTGCTTGCAAGGCAGGTGCTTATGCCACTGAGCTAAACCCCCAGCCCCACAACTCTCAGCTTTTATGGGGATAGAGTCATGGTAAATATTTCACAGAAACTGTATATGGGAAGCCTTTAGGTCACAGCTCGATCCAAAAATATTCGCTGTTGTTATAAACGTTTGTGCTGTTTCCCTCTAATGGAGCCGATGTGAAGATCAAAAATAATGCAGTCTGAGTATTCAGAATGTGATGAGCACCAGATGTGAGCTATTAGCACCTCCGCCACACAGACCTGACACTGGTAAACTGTGTAAAGTCTCAGTCACCAGCCCACCTCACCTAAGACCAGCAGCTCCCCCCACTGCTCACCCAGTCTCTCCCTCTCAGATACACTAGTGACTGCTGACCTCATTGCTTAATTCTCTTCCTGGTGAAGTAATTACTCCTTGGGTACAAGGTCCTGTGGTCACTACATCATCTGTATTACTAGAAAACGCCTACCATGTAACAAGATACTCAATACATGTACATAGTTCTTTTTTCATTCAACTAAATCCCTTCATCTGTCTCATGGGCTCTGCATGAAATTATTTTTTTTTACATTGATTAGTTTTTTTAAAAAACTTTAGTGCAGCTGGACTTGGTGGTGCATACCTAAAATCTCAGCACTTGAGAGGGCTGAGGCAGGAGGAGCACCATAAGTTTGAGGCCAGCCTGGCTCCATAGTGAGTTCAAACCAAGGTTGAACAACATAGCGAGACCCTGTCTCAAAAGCTCACAAACACCACCACTGTAGTAACTCGTGTGGGAGCCCTTTCCCAGCCATGTTGAGATCTCAGCCACCACCGGACCTCCCTGGCTTTCTGCTCTGGCCCTCTCTCTGCATGGGTATGTACAAGTAGTCTCCGTACCCTTCACTGTAACTCCCACCTGGGTGTCCTGGAGGTGCTGACACCACAAAAGGCAGGGCTGGACCCAGCATGGGTCCAAGCTGCCTGGTGCACGGGCAGGATCTGCTCCACTTGCTGGTCCACTTGTTTTTGGGATCCCTGGACACAACCAAGCAGATCACTACAAAATAAGACACAAATCCCCGTTACGTACTGGACATGGAGAAGAGTGCCGTGCAGGGACACCGTTCCACCGCTGCTCCTCTGAGTCCCACACTGCACCCAAGGCTCAAGTCCTCTGCTCAAGGTCACATGGCTAAGGGACAGTCTCCTCCCAGAGCCCCAGCTTCTGGCAGAGTATTTATGCACATTATCATGCCAAACCATCTCAAAATCCAGAATGGATTTCAGAGACACCATCCCAACAAACAGAAAAGGATTAAAAATGGGGAAGCAGCACATGCCTGTGATTCCAGCACTCTGGGAGGCTGAGGCAGGAGGATTGCAGGTTCAGCTCAGCCTAGGCAACTCAGTGACGTAGGCAAACTCTGTCCCAAAATTTAAAAAATTTAAAAGGCAGGGGATGAAGCTCAGTGTGGAGGTCGTAGGTTCAATCCCCACGGCCACAAAAAAAAATAAAATAAAAAATAAATAGCAAGAAAGAAAAGTTTAAGCAATAGGCATTGTACATTTGCTTTAAGTGCATCATAAAGAGGAAATCTTACTCAAATGTCTCCATGGTGCTGTAACAAAAACATCAGTCAGCATCTTTGAGAAAAGCCTTCATGGAGCCCAAGAGACGATTGGTACAAGATGGGCATGACAAACCGACACTCTACCCACAGATTCCCCAGGGGCACAGCAGGCTTTGCACCTAGAGTCAAAGTTAGGAAAGTCAGCAGGAGACAGAGTTTAAGTGCCACCCTTCCTCCACCAAACCTGTCTGAGGAGCATGGGGTGCTTCTCTTTGGGTCATTAACGTGGCCTTCATGGAAGCGCACATCTCCCTCCCTGGCCCACTGCTCCTCCCCACCTCCCCTTTGTCCTTCCCTCTCTACCTGCACACAGGATGCACACCCTGCACCTGTTCTGTAGTGGTTATTTGGTTTCACCAGTCTGCATCAGTACTTTGGCTTTCAAATCTTAGAAGCTGAAAATCACAGTGCTGTAGTCACCTTTTCAACTTGTGTAGCATTTCCGTCTCTGGTTCTATGTACACACACACACATGCACGCACGCACACACAGACTACTATGTTTTTGCTCACTGCCCCCTCCTGCCTCTGACCATCCACCCATGTGACATCACTTTTCTTCCCCTCCAGGACTCCCTTCTGAGGGGAAACCGCTTCCTGAGAACGTCTGTCTTAGTCCATCCGTGTCATCTCCCCCACCCCCATTTTGGAGCAGGCAGTTATGAGGCAGGATTGTGCTATGTTCCAGGCTGGCCTCCCACCTCAGCTCCCCGAGGGCTGGGGTGCAGGGGCACTGCTGTGCCTGGCTCACCTTCTCTGCACAGGCAGCATCCCTAGATACATGCTTCCTTGGGAACAGTTCTTCCCAGCGCCAGAGACACTGTCTTCTTTCACTGTCAATGTTGACATTACCTACCTTGGTTGTTTTCTGCAGATAATCATCTTCTAACTTTCCACATCTTTTTTTGTTTTTCAATACAGGGAATCAAACTCAGTACCTCACACTTGCCAGGCAGGCATTACGCTGCTCGGCTGTATCCCCAGTCCTTCCACATCTTATCTTAATGGCTGCCTTTGCTTGGGAACCACCAGGCTTCTCAATTTTTGTTTTTGGTCTGTCAGTAGCAAAAATTGAACTCAAGCAGTCATTTTCTGAGGCAACTCTGCTTTATCCTCCCGGGGATCTTGCACTATGTACATGCACTGCACCTGACTTGGGCTCCCCAAACCTGAGGTTTAGAGCCTTCGTCAAACTGAAAACCCTATCAGCCATTCTCTCTGAATGTTATCTCCTCCTTATGGCTGGGGGTTTAGCTCAGTGGCACAAGTGCCTGCCTGGCAAGCATGAGGTTGTGAATTTGACCCTAAGTACCAAAATAAAAGTAAATAAATAAAAGTTACCACCTCCTATGTTTTCTCAAAGCTCCAAATAACATACATTCTCACTCCTTCATCTATGTCCCAATTTCCTACTTCCTTTTTCTTACTGCAGGTAATTGGAGAACTTCCATTCCACTACCCTTTCGATATGGCCATTTAATCCATCCACTTTTTTCAAAAGCTTTTCCCTCCAGACTAGTGGTAGCAAACCTATGACATACATGCTATGTTTAAGACAAAAGATGATAATGTAGGCATTATTTATGTAAACGCCTCTACATTCGGGTTTCATTGCAGTGTTGGCATTTTCAATAGATGAGCTTCTGGTTGTACTTGGGGCAAGTGTCTCTAAAGGGTTGCTTGAAATCTGGATCTTCTGGGCTTTTAAAATCGCGTTCTCAAGCCCGTTTCTGCTCCCTGATGAAGTGGTTCTGTTACGGTGTGAGAGCTGCCAACATCTTAAGGATGGAAGGATGACTTCTACCTGTTAAGCCCTGATCATGCTGCCTTATTCCTCTGTGAACTTTGATCCACCCTTGGTGTTTACAGGATTGCTTCCAAGTCCTCCACAATGCCACTGGCTGGCTTCTGGAAATCATCTAGAGCCAAGACAAACTGAGTTGTTTCTGATTTCTTTCCTAAGGGTTCTGGGCCAACCGTGGCCTTGAGCTGGATGGTGAGCTCCGTGGTGAGGAATCCACAGGGGAAGTGCTCTGCATGTCTTCTCTTCCATGTGACACCAAGGCTGCGGTCACCATGTGAGGCATGCCGGTATTTCTAACCCTCTCGTCTGAGGTGTGCAGCTGGGTGTGGAAACAAACATACGAGGTTTGCCATTTCCTATGCCCTATATTCTATAGAAGCTTAAGGCCTGCTAAGTGGGGCAACAGTTGACATTAGCAGTGTAGGGTTTCAGTTTCTGCTTTAGTTTCAGGATCTGTAGGTTTCTTTCAAGCCTCCTTAGTAATGAGTTAAAAGATTTGGAGGGAGGGTAAAGACTTTTAGTAAATAGTTACTTGGCATCCTAGTTGACTTTCAGAGTATGCAATCCATGGTGCCACCAAAACTAGAGCCTGAGTTAGCTCTAAACACATACCCTGTTCTCTTCTGCCTCGGACTCCAACTCTGACAAAAACTGTAAAAAGACCAACGCAAAGCCAAAAAAAGAATTGAATCAAAAGTGGTAAGAAGCACCTACAATACAACCACTTTCTTCTCCCTGGGCATAAAGGCCTTAAGGTGTCTAGACTGTCTGTCCATCACACCCCAGATACGGGACAGACAGCAAGGCAGAAATCCAAGCATCACCAGGGAAAGTAGAAGAGCCTGCCTCTCAACAGCAAGAGAGAGCTGTCTGTGGAGAGATGTGAAGAGGACTCCTCTCAGGTATGGAGGAGACGGCCATCACAGGCCTACACAAACACAGCTCCTAGAATTACGGAACCAGGGAGACTTTTGTGACTCACCCACTCATGGCTAGCTGGCCCTGGTGACTTCACACCACATGAAAGGAGAAAAGCTAAGGCAGGCCAGGACAGTATGGACAGATAAAAGAGTTTCCACTGATGTTTACCACACCACTTTTTGTGGCTTTTTCTCCATCCAGGTCTGCCCATAAACTGAATGGTACATCTGAAGAATGAATGCTCCAAGCGCCACGGCTGGTCAGGAAGCAGTCGGCTCTAGGACAACCTGCTCCTAGACTGGCTTGTATTTTTGTACCTTCTTGAGACTGGTGAGTCCTCTGGAGTAATGTTGCTGGCTTGGGACAGTGCAGTCACCTGCTTACAGAGCGATGTATCCCTTTATGCCCAGGGCATTCTCTCTGCCCTGCAGTGCCACGTAAGAGGCTGGCTTCCCCTCAGCTTCTGGACGTGACCAACACTCTGTGACTTGCAGGATGCCGCACCCCAGCCTCTCTTCCCTACATCAACTACCCAGCAAGCAGTTCCTCTGACACATACCCTGCTTCCTTTCCAAATTCTCCTCAAAAGGTTACCATACCACGTCACCTGCATCCACCAACAGCAGCAACACTGCTGATGGCCTGACTTCCACTTTGAGGCTGTCATCTTAAGCAAGTCACTTGATCCCTGCCTCAGAAGTTAATTAACTGAGCACACCCAGGTGACTTGGCAAGATTTCAGACTCCCAGTCCCCAACAGAACTGACCTCTGGGAGGGGAGAGGGAACCTCGACATCACTCCAACAGGGCACATACTCATCACTGAGCCACCCTGACCGCTGGAATCTGGAACTTCCACAAACAGCCAGGTGATCCCCTTGCAATTCCTGGATCTACAGAGCCTAAGTCTAGTTACTCCACACTTGCATCTATGATACCAAGTACCAAGAACTTGTACCTCTGACAATAAAATGGACAAAATGATAAGAAATAATGTAAGAAGTCTGGTCCTCAGTTCTTCCTGGATGAAATGGTTCTAGTGCAAAGTAACAATTTAACAAGAACGAACCAGTGACCAAGGGAGGTCACAGCAAGACTCACTACAGCTGTCACGCGAATACGCTCAAGAAATCATCTGGCTGCTGCCGTGCAGGTAGTCAACCAGCATCCTTAAGCACTTCCAGAAAAACTCGGGCCCTACAGGATATGGGAATATATGGGTGAATCTCGACAAAACCCAAAAGATTCAAGTTGCTGTGAGCAACAGGTATCAAGAGGCTTCAAAAACATCACCAAATCAGCACCAAAATCCTGGAAAATCCACAAAAAATTGGAAATCCACAAACTTTTACAGGTTAATCTGCTCAACTCATTTTAAATAAAGGCAAGAGATATGTCAAAAAGACCTCGGCCACGTAAGATGCTCTCTGCAGTAACACCCAGCATATTTACTGAACATGACAAATTCATGCACATATCCAGGGTAAGGTTTGTACCTCATTCAACACTGCTGAGTAAAAAAGAGGGAAACAAAGGGCCACCAACCAGTAGAGCCAGCTGTTCCACACAGATAATAACAATCTCAAGTGGACATACCCCAAACTGCTTTGGAAAGCAAACTCTTAGTGTTTTGGCTTTGTGCTGAGACCACAGGCATGAATCAGGCTTTTAGAGGCACAGCTACAGTACTGAGCCTCCAGGGCTCAGGAGCCCAATAAAGTTTACTAACCTAAATCCTGGCTCAATAATGACACAGACCTTTGTCAGGAACAGCTACATGACTTAAACCTAAAAATTCAGGCATACAGCATTTTTTATATAAGTGCTCTGGAGACTTTTAAGTTATAGGACAGCATGTAAAGGTGCCAAAAACTAATGATCTCTTTCCATAGATCATGATCCTCAGCATCTGAGGAAAGGCAACCCCAGGTAATCTGAAGAGTTTTTGCTACACACCCCACAGCACTTGGCAGGACAACTTTTTCTGTCCTATCAAGCAGTATGGACCGCCCAATACATAACCCTACCATGCATGGCCTGAGAAGCAATACCATGACCCCACAGTCCTCTGCCCACAGGACTTGAATCTTACACCTGCACATCTGAGAGTGGCAGCTGGGGCAGTGTCCTGTGCTCTAATCTGCTCAGTGTTTGCCTGATAGAGGGTCATGCGCTATGGAAGACTTTATTCCACACTAGTTTTGCTAATTGCCAGTACGAATCCCAGGGACGGGGAGCCATGGGGTCTTCACACCCCGGCTTCCCAGCTCTGAGCCCACGGCAGCCGTGTGTCATTTTCACAAATCTTCCAAGGCAAAGTCGTGTTTCCTATCTAATTAAAAAGAGCACTGCTTAATAAGAGGCAAGACTGAGTGGGAAATAAACCCACCCTGGCGCAGGCGCCCTCTGGCTGCTTGGAAAAGAAAAAGAGCAGTGACTCTGTGGATGGAGCCAGGGTGAAGAGGAAAACACAGCTGCAAGTTAAGAAATGACACAGACCTTCCACACGCACACTTTAAAAACTTTATTTATATAAAAACTCAATTTGTTTTTAAAAGCATTAACGAGAGAAAAAGAGAGAGCAAATGGGTGGGGCATAAGATGTGCCCCAAGTAGTGTTCGGTGGGTAGGTGGGATTTTTGGTTCTCTGGAGCTGAATGTCTAGAGTGTTTATAAATGAAAATGGGAAAACAGAAACAGTTACAGGTCCCCCGAAGCCCATGGCTATTCTATTACCCACACTCCACCGAGAAAGAGCACCAGGAAGAGCAAAAGAGGACAAGAGGAGCCTGGCAGAGCCAGGCCCGAGTGGGCAGGGTCCCCTGTGCAGGGAGCTGAGGGCCCCGACAGTGAGAGGCTCTTTTTGGCCAGAAAAGGGTGGAGAGCAGGGGGGAGAGGTGGCAGGGCAGGTAAATTAGGAGTTGCGAGGCCTGGGAAGGAGCTGCCGGACTGTGCACTTCTCTTCCCCACAGCCTCGATATGCAGGGAAGGGGAAGTGGGAGGAAGAATTCCAGTTGCACTGAACAGAGTTCTTGGATTAAAGGGAGCAGAAGGCAAACAAGGAAAATGGTTTAAAGAAAAATAATCCAACCCACATGGCATCCGGTTCCTATAGCCACCCTGCTGACACACAAGAGCAACAGGGGGCCTGGGGTAGGGGCCGTGTCCAGAACCCCGTCCCCAGTGACAGCAAATGCTGGGCAGCTCAGGAACATGGGCCACACTGCTCCCTCTTCTACCAGCCTCCCTGTGAGACCCATTGGAATGGGACTGTCACAAACCCCACCCCACGCGGTCAGGAAGAGCACTCCAAAGCAGGAACAGAGCCATGTCAGGCCCCAGGAGAGTACCTGAGGCTCTCCAGTCCCTCTCCTGTCCTTCCTACTACTGAGGGCCACCAGTGGGCAAGGACGCAATGAGATACTTCAACGTGCGAGACCATGAGCATGAGATGGCAGAGGCAAAGAAAGGCACGTGGAGGGGGGAGACACACCCAGGCCAAAGGCACAGAGAGGAGGCAAAGCCGGGTGATCACCACCTTGTAAGGAAGGGGCAGCAGTTATGTACACTGAGTCCTGCAGGTGCCAACCAGTCCAGGGAGGAGAGGCAGGGAGGACGGGCTCGCGAGGGCAGGAGGAGGAGAAACTGGGCAGGGAAGCCACTCTGAGGCCTCCTGCCGGTTTCAAACTGACCACTTCATGTACCTCCCTTCCAGCTCCTCCCAGAGGTGATTCTTCTTCCCAAAAGACATTCCACTCCTCCTCCACCAGCCTCTTCAAGAGTCTCCTCTTCACATAGCCTCCTGCAGGCAGGCGGCCAGCAGACCCACCGCAGAGTGCAGAAGGCCAGACAGCCTCACTGAGGGCCGGAGGCTGCGGCCTAGGTTGGCATGAGGCTCATCGACGAGATGGGGTCCAGAGGCCCTTGTGGTCCCTGCCTTGGAGATGAGGACAGCAAGAGTGCGAGAAGACGTTCTGTGACTCAAGGGCCCTGCCAAGGAGGAATGTGCCGTGTCGTCAGCCTTCTTGCTCCAAAATAGCCGCTGGAATAAGGAAGAATTCACTTCCCATTCTCCAAAAGAAAATAAAAGGTCCCTTCCCCACCAGGAAATGTAATTTTGATTAAGAATCATCAGTGTAGCAGATCGCTGGACATTGCATATACAGCACGGAGCTTCCCACACTCCTCGGCTTCCAGTGAAGGTTCCCCTCCCTCCCTCCACATAAGGCCGAGGCCCAAGAGAGCCAGCCAGGAGAGCTCATCTGCAGCAGTCTCTCCAGATTTGCACTCAGCAGTCAGGTTTCTTGCAGGCAGGAACTGGAGGGGCCAAGTGGGGTTGGGAATGGGTGGGACAATCCCGAGTCACCGTGAGGTGCTGGGAGGTGATGGAATGAAGGCAGCCTGGGCTCGAAGGGCAGGAGGCAGCCTGGCAGTTGGCACAATAGTCCAGCGAAGAAAGGAAAAGATCAGTTCATTTCACCACCAAAAATAAAAGTACATATATTATAAGCTCAGATGGAGCGGAGATAGTGGTGCTAAATCTTCTGCTGCAGGGAAAAAAGAGAAAGAGGACATGAGTCAGGTTGAGCATAAGAAAAGGCCACGGGGAAAACATGGGCAAATCCAGAGGGAGAAAAGCAGCACACGGCAGAGAGCAGATCACCAGCTGCATGATGCAGCCTCTCAGAGTCGCCATCACAAAGCAGAACCCAGGCCGCAGAGCCAGGATACATGTCCCTGGCCTGATCAGAAGAGCGCAATTGCACACCGTGGGCACATGGGTGCCTCCTTGCTCAGGGACAGCCTGGAAGCAGCTGGAGGACATACCGTGGAGGGGTATGACACCTGGTCCCCCTCATCATCCAAAACCAACACATCCAACTCGTCCTCCAGAGACTCCTGCCCCTCGTCCTGCTGTGAACACATGCAAGTGGTTAGTACGATGGACAGCGAGAAGGCCCTCCTGAGGGGACACCAGGCCTCAGGAAACTCTAGAGGACATTCACACCAGCCAGGTGAAAGGGCAAGAGGGATACAGGACAGTGAATGCTGAGAACAGAGCAGTGAGTGTTAGTCCTGTCAGCAGCCCCTTCACGGGCTTCCTTCTCCCAGCCTGGCCTGTGCAGAAACCTATGACGATTCTAATCCTTACTCTTTCCCACAAACCCCCACCAGAAAAAGGGTCTGTCGTTCGCCTGTGTTTTCCCACTCCATACAACCTGCAGGCCTCAGAATAGAGCCAGCCTTGGACGGGCAGTGGTATGTAAAGGGGGTTTACCATTAAGGGCGTTCCCTTCAGCGGCTCCATGTCACCCAAGTCCCCACTTCGATCCAGTGTTCTGCTGTGGTCTCTCTCATTCAGTGTGGAATAGTTGTTATCTGCAAACAAAGCACACAGACACATGGCAACCCTTGAACATGCAGCATGCACCATGTCTTGAGTGCAAATCAGGCACCATTGCTGGGAACTGAGCTTTGCCAAGGGCTTAGGGAGTCAAAGGAATGTGAATAGAGCAGAAGAGAGGACAGACAAAACACCCAGAGCTGACGGGCGACAATGGTGTGAACCACAGAGGCCAGTCTCACGGGGACTGAGAGAGAAAAAAGAGGGACGTGTGCTGCAGCACGAAGGACCTGACAAAGGAAAGTGGAACTTGAGTTAAGCCTTTGGGGATGAAGAGAAGTTTAAAAAGCAGATGGGGGGGCTGGGGGTTTAGCTCAGCGGCATAAGCACCTGCCTTGCAAACAGGCGGTCGTGAGTTCGATCCCCGGTACCGATAAAAATGAAAAAGACAAAAAAATAAAATTAAATTAAAAAAAAAGCAGATGGGAAGGACAGACAGTGCAGAAAGGAGAAAGAGAAAGGCCTGAGAACGTAGAGATCAGGAAGGCTGAGCGCCTGTAGAAAACAGTGGGGAAGAGGGAGGCTCAGACCATTGGAGGGCTCAGTCAGGGGACACAAGCAGGGCTGCAGCAGTGGGGAGTGGCAGGAAGGGTTTGTGAGGGCTTCCAAGCATGTGCAGGAAGGAGATGCACTCTCCACGCCCCCTCGGTAGGTGAGGAGGGTGACAGGAGACATGGGGCTCCCCGTCCTGTGAAAGTCCAGTCCATGTCCCCAGGTAGGAGCTCAGTACCTACCTAACGACTTTGTGTTTGATCCCATGCTGCTCATCTGAATCTCTTCCCGGTCGGGTTTCTTATCTGCATGAAGTTAGAAAGTGATGCAGGTCAGAACCAGCTCTTTGAAATCATTGCATCACCAACTGCTTCTGGCCCATCCTCCTGCCCCTCCTGCATTCACCTTCTGGGGGGCACCCATTGAAGCACCACAGCGGTAACAAAGCCCAACGCTCAAGCAATCTCCTTCCTACAGGCAACAAGTAACTCGGACTTACAGGTTTTCCTATTCCTTGGTCTCCAGGCCTCTTTTCAGTCTTAAAAACATACAAGGGCTGGGCTGAGGATGTCGCTTAGTGACAGAGTATTAGTCTACCATGGGTGAGGCCTTAGGTTCAATCCCCAGCCAAATAGTTGACCATGTTAATGTTTTGGGTTGGATCATTGAACACAACTGTTTGCAGTCTCACCGTTTGAATGTCCACTTTGTATTCTTTGATACTGTGATTTGAGCAACTATTTCTAAGATGATAATATGTAATCTATTAACTGGTGATTTCTTACTGTTTTTTTTTTTTTTTGTAGTTCTGTATTATGTGTACCCTTACACCACTTTGTTTTGTGTTTTTCTCTTTTTCCTTTTAAATAAAATTAAAAAAAAAAAAAAAGAAGATGCTAATTGGTAAGATTTGTCTAAGAAAAAAAAAAAAAACTAAACGGTGGGCTTTCATCGGTGGGTCAGGTACATTAGCACTTACTATACAGAGAAACTTAAATTGTTTCACTTAAAAAATAAATTTATGGGGGCTGGGCATTTAGCTCAGCAACAAAAGCGCCTGCCTTGCAAGCCTGTGGTCGTGAGTTCAATCCCTGGTACCGGTAAAAATACAAAATAAATAAATAAATTTACTATGTGTTATAATACATTTTGACTTCTGCCTCTGCTTTTGTTGCTACTAAAATAGGGTGTCACTATACAGTCCAAGTTAGCCTAGAACTCACTGAGCCTCCTGTCTCGGTCTCTTGAGTCCTGGGATCACAGGTGGGCACCACATACAATTTTGCACATAGCTTTGAACTTTGGCTTAATCAAAGAACGCTGGACTCTCACATCTGTCTTCAAACTGCCTTCAAACTGTTGTGATAATGTTGTTCTGGGTGACGAGCAGTAAAGAAAATTCAGCCTCACACAGATAAAAAGTTGGGAAAAGGTGAATATGCAAAGCTGCTCAGGTAAGAATGGATACTCTTGGGTATCATGGAAGTACCCACAGCTGCTCCGTTGTTCCCTCACCATGCTTCCATGGTGCCAGGGATCATGTCCAGGGGCCCCACATGCTAAGCAAGCGTTACTGCTGAGCCATGCTCTCAGTCCCAGCAGTGGTTTCTTTTTCTTTTTCTGCAGTACTGAGGACTGAACCCTTCTTCACACTATACTATATTCCCAAACCTTATCATTTTTTTTATTTCCAGGTAAGATCTCGAGAAATTACTCAGGCGTGCCTCAAACTTGTGACCCTCCTGACTCAGTCTCCCTCAGTACTGAAATTACAGACCTGCACTATCCCATTGGCTCCAAAACTTAAAGGTTCTTAAAGGATTAGCAGCAGTGTGAAATATGAAAACAATTACTTTATACCCTGTTAAATTAAAATCCACCTGCCTATCATGCATTTAGAATGGATAGATCATCCCAGCATAGTTCAGATGTACTGGGATACCAATCAACTGTACCACAAGCGCACACCTGCAATCCCAGCACACTTGGGAAGATCACTGTGACTCCAAAGCCAGAGTGAGCTTACACAGCAAAACCCTGTCTCAAAAAATAAAGCCACCCCTGCTCAAAAAAAGCCCAAGGGCTGAGCCTGGAGGCGCATGCCTGTACTCCCAGCACCTGGGAGGCTGAGGCAGGAGAGTCGCCATGAGGCTAACCTGGGCTCCATATTGAGTTTAAGGCCAGCCTAAACTACATAGGAAGACCTCGTCTCATAAAAACAAAACAAAATAAAACAAACAAAAAAATACCACCAAAGAAAAAGAACAAAAGTTTAGTTCACAGAAGCATGTGGATATTCCAGATATTAACACCCTTTGTTTCATATATTTTGTTTTTAAAATTTACATGCACTAATGCTACCACTGACTTCGTTAGAAAGTCTTAAGCATTAGGAAGTTAGCAAACTCACAGAGGCAGATTCCAATTTCTAAGATTTTGATTTTCACTTCAAAGCTGAGGCAGAAAATACTATTATTTTGCTCAGAGCAACAAGCTCACTGCATTCATTATTTTACTGCACCCAAGTGCTAACTTATTAATTTTTTTTGCAACCCTTGGGATTGAACCCAGGGTCTTCACGTCATGCCACATCCTAGCCCTGTCTAAGACGGGGTCTTACTAAATTTGGTAAGGTGCCCGGCCTGAGCTCAAATTTGCAATCCTCCTATCTCAGCCTCCCAGGGTGCTGGTGTTGAAAACATATGCCACCATGCCTGGCTCCTGAATTCATTTTTGGCAACCATCAGCCAAACACTCTGTCAAAACACTGGCAGTTCCTCTTCCAGTCAGTTTTCCAAGGAAAATGGCACTGCATGAACGGGCAGCGAGACATGGGGCTCCCCGTCCTGTGAAAGTCCAGTCCATGTCCTCAGGTAGGAGCTCAGTACCACTCTCCTCAGCGCTGGGTGTGTAGATGTCCACTCACAGGCAGAAATGAGAACACTAATGCCAACAGCTCCACAAAGCTCATCCTCAGCTCAGGATTGCAGCAAGAAGGCTGCTCGAGGTCACTGGGCTTTGGCGTGACCCGGAGCCGGGAGGCCTGCAGGCAAGCAAAGCCATGCTTGCTGTGGGTGGGGGAGCACATGGTTGGTGAGAAAAGGAAAAACTTCATTTCTTGGGGAAGATGCGTTTGTTCACATGGTGAAGAGTTTAAAAAGCATAGTGATTAATGCTGGGTACTAGAAATCATTGGCTTTGTTATTTTTCTAGCTGACTATTCTCTAATTTTAACAGTAAATATACACTACTTGGCACTACACAGAAATTTTTAAAAAGGAAGAAACAAACAGAGGGAAGTGAGGGCTCAGGCAGCAAACACAGGCAGCCTGCCTGTCTCGTTTCTAACATTTGAGTCCCTACCCTGGAAAGACTCGCTGGGGGAACAAACACATTTCTCAAATTCTCTAATTCTCAGCCCCTTGACAGCAGAGCCCTGGCCGGGGCGTGGCCGCAGGAAGCCGGAGGAAGCCAGAGCGCACCCATACCTAGCTTTTGGTTGCGGTCGATGAGTGGTAGCGTGGTGTCATCGTAGGAGTGACTGCTCTGGCTTCGAGTGGCGCTGTTCAGATTCACCTGGGACAAAGAGGAAACGCAGTGTCACAGAGCCCTCTATTCACCCGCATCCCTTCACCCCTCCTCCTCTACACAGCCTTCTCCAGGCGCCCCTCTCCCAGCCGGGGTTCCCACCCTGCTTTCCCTCTCCTCCCCAACACCAGTCTCAGAAGAGGTACTGCACAAGGCTGATGCACACAGCCAGGAACATCAGGCCTTGTGCCCTGGGCGCACCCACATAGGGAGGCATCGTCAGGCTGGGTCAGCCCTCCAAGGCAGAGCAGAGGCTGGAGAAGGTGCGGGAAGCGGGAAGAGGGAGAGGCCATCTCCATGGTGGCAGGCTGGAGACCCTGCTCCGAGAGGAGTAAAGAGGACCATGTTTCCTCATTGGAGATTTAAAGGGTGTGGAAAAGGAGCCAGAGACTGAAGCACCACCCGGTATGGATGCTGGGGGGCTAAAGAACTCCAAGTACCTGAAAGTCTGACTTTTTCCACCCTTCCTTCTCCAGGGGCTTCCTCAGTTCCTTGTACCCCCAGATTGTCTGCAACACCAGAGCTGCTGCTCGGACTTCTTTTTCCGAGCGGTTCCTTGGAAGGAAAATACTACCATGTGAAATGGGGATGCGAGACCGGAAAAGCAGCTTAGAACCTGGACCCTCTCAGAACACTACCCAGCGCAGGGGCACCTGCCTGCAACCCCAGCCACTCAGGAAGCTGAGGCAGAAGGATTGCAAATCTGAGAGCAGTCGGGCACCTTAATTAAATCCTGTCTCAAGTCTAAAGAAACAGCCTAAAAGCTGGGAGACTGAGGCAGAAGGAATAAGTTCGGGCTACATAAGTGAGTTTAAGGCCTGCATTTTGAGACTTAATCTCAATAAAAGGGCGGCTGGGGATGTAGCTCAGCACAAAGGCCCTGGGTTAAATCCTCAGTACCACACACACACACACACACACACACTAAAGTCTATTATCAACTCATGGATCTTAAGACACAATGGAGCAATACTTTGTCCCATCATCCCACAGGTGAAGGGGAACATTCCAGAAAGCTCAAGAGGACACTCCTTCCCAGCAGCCCCCAGCTGGGAAGCTATGTGTGAGCTCACCCTGACTTGTTGATTAGCACCAGCTTCTCAATGCCCTGTGTCTCTCGAAGCTTTTTGGCAGCCTCCAAGTTCTCGGCAATAACTTCATTGATGGTGTTCAAGATAGAGACAACAGTGTCCTCAGAGAAGTTCCAGGAGGAGTTTTGCTGGCCTCCTGGCAGATTCTTCACCAAGTTAGGGATAGCATGCTTACCTACAGCAGCCAGGCAGAGGGACCATCATGAGGCACCATCCTCACGAATCTCCCTCACAGCCCACGGGACAGAGGACTGGGACAGCCAGGAATTCACTGTCCATCCACCACTGCCCCCACTTTCACTCACACTGAAACAATCTAAAGTGAGACCCCATGGAAACAGAATGCTCACTATGGTACGCATTCAATACAACAGTCAGAAATTTTTAAAAAACAACACCCATGACTCTGCCACTAGCCAACTACATGAACTTCTGTGAACTTCAGTTTCCTGATGCTATTAAAACACAACACAGACCCCATCAAATAGAAACACAAAATGCATGATAACACTCAGGAGCAAGCAGATGCGCACACAGTCTGTTTCTGCGGTCATCACCACTGGACTTTCTGAGACCCATTCCACCCCAGAAGCATCACCGCAGAAGGCTAGCCTACTCCCTGGGGATCTCAGAGAGACGATACAGGTGCTTGGCCCCTCACCTATGAGCTCTTTGTTGCGAGCGTCCACAGCCAGGTTCCTCAGCGCTCCTGAGGCCGCCTTCACCACACGCTCGTGCTCGTTGGTCAGGAGGTCTGCAATGGCTGAGAGCGCCTTCTCTTGCCGCAAGGCAGAGCGGATGTACCGGCCATACTAGGAGGAGCGCAGATATGAACCCGAGTACAAGGGCAGTGAGCGAGTATCTGAGGCCCTCCCCCTTCTGGGTTCACTCTCTGAAAGGGACTTACTGTCCAGCGCCCAGCGCACAGGTTCTGAATGGCTCCGGCAGAGGCCTCCAGGATGGCAGGCGTCTTGCTTTCCTTGAGGAGTGAGATGTATATCCGGACCACCTCTGGCTGGAACAGCAGCTCGTAGCCTGCACCAGGGAAAGGCGAGGAGACAGGATGTTATTGGTCCCAACAACCTGGCTCTGACTGGTGGCATCCAGCCTTCAGACTCGGGGGTGACACACTCGCCCTGTAGACCATGGGCTATGCAAGCCCCTGGTGTGCAGCAGCACACTCAGGCCAGGCTCTGCAGCTCAAGTCAGGCCATCCTGGGCAGCACAATCACCTTCCCGCTCTCTGCCCCTACAACTCCCTCGGCCTCAGCTGCACTATAAGCACCACGCTCACTGACCATGTTCAAGATTAAAAACTCATCTCCAACAAATCACTGTTACTGTAACCCAGTCATTCCTCCAACTTTTGCAAGCAGGAAGTAAAAGGGAGAATCACAGGTTTAACAATATCTAAACCTGTCATGTTCTTGGAGAGTTGTGAACTTCACACTCATCAATATTGCGAGCCCAAAGAGCCAATCTACAACCAAGAGGCTTCTTCTAAGAGTAGGATACAAGGCCCCAAAACTACTTTTCCGCTCAGGTCCCAGGCAGTCCTTGCAAGTTACTGCTGTAGCCCTGCAGTTCTCCAGTGCACTGGTCAGCACCTCAAATCCATGAGTCAGAGGCGAGAACGACAGTAAGCAGGTGGCATAAAGTCTGCTATTTGGCCATCAAACACCACGACTAGGTTTATGAGTGTTCTGGAGATGGAAAAGGAAAAATAGCTTACCTCGAGCAGGACTGGTTCTTTTAGGGAAGTCCACTGTGTCATTTGCTGGATCCTCTATAGGTTTCTTCCCTGCAGAAATGGGGAGAGAGGGGAGACAACAGAGGAAGAGTTTTAAAAAAGAAAGCTTTCATCTGGTACACTGCCATTCCTTACACAGAATCTTTCGAATTCCAGAGTTCCATCAAAAGGGCAAAAGAATCACCTCCCTCCAGTCCCAGCAGGGGCTATGTAGAAATGGGCACAGAAGCAGGCAGCAGGCAGGGAACAAGGGTAACCATGCTCGGTGCCGTGGACCTGGGTTCTGGTGACAGGCAGCACTGCCCAGGTGTACCATGCCATGAGTAGGCGTTCAGAAGAGCTAGTCTATTTCAGTGGCCCTCCACAACAGTTCCTACATGCAGCACAGGGAAGGGTCAGGCAAGAGACGCGAGGAATGCCAAAACCAAAACATGCAGACGACATACAGACAAGCACCACAAGAGTCCACTCACCTCTGGAGAACCACTCATCTTCCCGTGCGTCACCCAAAGTGGAAAGCGGAGGAGAGAAATGAAGGAAGAAAAATGCAGGAGAAAGATGTCAACGGCATCACAGGCAAAAAAGCAGGAGAGCATGGAGAAGAAAAAATGCAGGAGACACGCAGGAGGACAGGGGACCAAGGCCCCGGACTCGCACAGCTGTCGTCCTTCCGCATCCCAGTCACCACCACTGCCGCCGCCACAACCACAGCCATGGCAGGGGAAGCCTGGCACAGCAGAAGCCCGGCAGACTCGGCAAAGACCCCGCACCTACCGCTTCGCACTCTCCACCCCGCCACATCATGCATGAGAGCAAGGCTGAGGAGTCACACTCACCTTTGCCCTTCTTGGCACCAAAGCAGCTGGCAGCCTGGGGCCCAGCATTGTTGGCGACAGCAGGTGGGGCCTCCTGATAGCGCTCTGCCTGCGGGATCTCCCGGTGAACTTGGTAGGATAAGTTCCGCAGCAGGCAGACGCAGTTCTCCACGAGCTTGGGCCAGGGAGAGAAAGACGGAGGCCGGTGAGACCCGACAGCATCTGCAGCTGTCTCCCAGCAGGGATCATTTTCTGGGGCTTTAGGATGTCCATCCTCAAAGCCACACTGCACCCCCAGCACTCAGCAGGCTGAGGCAGGAGAATTGCTAGAAGTTGGAGGCCAGCCTGAACTGCATAGTGAGACCATCTCAAAACACCAGACCAAACCAAAGTCTGTCTCCATAAGCATAGCCCCAGCCACCCAGTCTCAGGATGCCTCTTCCTCTATGCCCGTGATTCTCAGTACCCGTATGTCTGCAGGCCAGAGAGAGACCCAGGAATGAATTTCATAGCTTCTGCCACAATCTGGTATGTGACCCAAAACTCAGGCTTTTTTTTTCCTATGTAAAAAAATACAGTTTTGGAAGACTGGCAAGCAGCTATACACAACATAGTAGAAAGGAACTAGTCGTTTCTTCCAAGCTGAACACCCACTGTGGCAGGAAGGGGCACTTGAGGTGTTTGCTGGTGTCTGAAAACATGAGGTGGTAGCTTGGTCTACACTGCAGGTACCTCACAGATGCAGGGACTCACCTTGCTGTCTGAATCCTTCTGCCCAATCTCAGCCTGAACAATGAAAATGAGGGCATCAACCAGACCATCACACTCCCGAAGCTTCCGGCGGGCTTCGCTCCTCTCTGAGCTCACATTCCTGAGGGGAAACCAGGAGATGTTTATGAGGACCCAAGCCCAGAAGTCCTCTCTGACCATCCTGTAACATCCACAGGCTCCCTCAACGCCTTTGCCACTCACTGCCATGCACAAGGCCCTACGGTTGAGGGGAGGACTGCCCCCCTTCTCAGCTTCTAGAACGCCATGGACTAACAACAGTGATTCAAGACAGAACACATGGACAATGTGCAGAGTGCAGACATAGAACAGAGCATGGTCTACTGGAATGTGGGAAACTCAGGACATGACACACACAGGACCAGAACCTCACACGCTGGAGTTCTCAACAGGGGGAACCAACTGAGCTGGTCAAAGCAGGGTGAGACTGAAGCAAGGAGGGTGTGTGGGGCCATGATGACCCCAGACAGGCTAGAGCTGCTGCATGTTATATAAAAAACAGAGTGAGGTCGAATAACTGGCTAAACGATCTTGGCTTTTTTTTTTTTTTTTTTAAAGAAACCATGGTATCAGCCTACAAAGGCCTCTCGATCACCTCAGGCAGCCAGCGGTGTTGGTGAGCACCGACTCCCACTCAATGTGGCGAGGCTTGCAGTCCTCACTCGGCTCCCTCTCCCAGCCGGAGTGTGGGATGATCACCTCATCTGTCAGGGCATGCAGCGCGTGGTCCACAATCTCCATCTTGATGGAGTCATGGGATGAGAGGTTCCACAGTGTTCCTGGTGGAGACAATGCTTAGACAGTACTCCAGGGCCCACCAGAGCCCCAGAAGACTGTCACCTTATCCCAGTGAAAGCGAACCCCTTTGGACCTTTTGGAAATTACAAATAGCCCGTGGCACAATGTGTGCCATGAGGCTGCCACCACTGCGCTATTCCACCACTTCTCAGTCTCCCTCAGTGACCGAATACACTGTAGTGACCTTCAAGCTTTAGTCTGCAGCCCATGGTAAGAAATGTACTTTACACTGTAGATCAACACATATACACACAGTGTGAAAAAGTGTCACAACATGATACTCCCAGCAATGCTCACCCACATATCTACCAATTTCTCTGCCTCAGCGCCACTGCCATTTGGGCCACAGGGTATTTGCTGTGGGTTGGCCTTTAGTATCTGTTACTATTGATACACTGTGTCAACTTGAGCAGTTTAGAAGTTTAACTAAGAGACTCAGCAGGGAGCCAAGGTTTTACAGTTGTAAATATTCTCATTCTGTGCAAGAGGGTAAGAAGAATATGTGAGTGCTATACCTGCCCTGGAAGTGGGGTTGGGGTGGCCCTGTGTACAGTATAAGGGAGGAAAAGAGGTTTATTCTTTCCCCTTTTCCTCTGGGTGTTTTTCCTGGCTGCTGCCTTAAAGTGTTGCCCCCATGCCACACCACCCTGTGTTGGAGTCAGCTGACTATGGACTGAAACCTCCACAAACTGTGAGCTAAGTAAACCTTTCTATCTCTAATTTTGGGTGTCATGTGTTTTGCTTCAGCAATAAGAGAAAGGTAACAAGACTGTCCCTACCTTCATGCCAAGGGTGTCACTAACACTCTTCTCCTCCCAGAATGTGACTAACACAGCAAACATCCTTTGGTGAGAAAGATCTCCCCGGCCTCAGATCCCTTGGCTTATGCTACTGTTTGTTCTTTCTTTTTCTCAGAGTGGTGTCTGTGATTCGTGAAACTGTATTCAGTTCAAGAATGGATCACAGCCCATGTTCTAAAACTCTACCAAACTTGAGTGTCTGAATGACCATGCAGACTTGGGAAAGGCAACTGACATTCAGTGACTGAGGGTGACAGACATCTCCTTTGTGACCGCGGTTGGTCAGCACTAACACAAAAGTTAGAGGTGACCATGACCCAGAGAACGGAAGCTCCCACTTGGCTCAGCCCCAACACTGCCAAGAGGAGAGCTCTGTCCTGATCAGGAGTCCATGTCTTCACAGAAGCCAAGAATCTACCATTTCAGGTGACAGCCACTGAACTCTATACATCAGCAAACAAGTCTTTACAATGTTTTTAATCCCCATACTGCGACAAATGAACAATGCTTTAGGACTTGACCCAACGGCCACCCACTCAGAAACTACAATCCACAGGCAAAGGACCAAAAACGCCTCTGGCTCTCAATGCTTCCCTGGGCCTAGAACTCACCAGTGATGACTTCGGTAAGGTCCATGTCTCTAGCTTTTCGCAGCAACCGCACAAGGGCAGGGACACCGTCACAGTTTTTTATGGCAATCTTGTTATCTTGGTCCCGTCCAAAAGAGATATTCTTGAGGGCACCACAGGCTCCAAGGTGCACCTCCTTTTTTGGGTGGTCTAACAAGCCCACCAGGACAGGGATGCCCTTGAGCTTCCGCACGTCAGTCTTCACCTTGTCATTGCGGTAGCACAGGTGCTGCAGGTACGCTGCTGCATTGGACTTGACAGCGTCCAGGCGGAAGCCCAGCATGGCGATCACCTCAGGCAGCTCGGGCTGTCTCCAGTTCGGGGGCGGCGGGCCTCCCTTGCGCAGACTGTCCAAGCTCGCCAGGCTCCCTCGCTCATGCTGGGCCAGAGGAGCCCAGTAGTACTGATCTGGTGGCACCTCCTCACCAATCATGTCTTCATAGCTCCTGCAAAGTTGAGGGGAAACCAAGGGAAAAGGAGCGCCCCATCAAGTAGGTGGGCCTGGCTTCCAGGCACTTCCTGCACCTTTGCAGGACAGGCCAGCACTGACACACAGAGTGACGCACTGATCAGTTCCAGTCATTGCAAAGGCACCCACAATCAAGATTAAAATGACTTCTCCCCTGTGAAGTGTGTTGGCTTAGAAAGTAACATTTGCAAAACCTAACCACAAAGAAAGTACTAAATCCTGATTACTGTACTTTTACTAAATGATACCAGACAGCTACTAACTTCTCTGGATAGAGATTAAATAAATCTTCAGACGGCAGAGTTAACCAAAGCAACTGATTCAGTGTGACAAAAGTCAGCAAAAAAAGCCTGAGAGCAATTCTTATAGGTCTTTAGCTAAACAGGAAATGAGGCATTTATGTACAGGAAACAGCTGGTGGAATAAAACCCTTGAACACACTTCATAGTTAAGCTTCCCCTTACTGTACTTTAGAAATTATAAAAATACTGTTACAGAAAAACAGAAAAGTGCTTCTTACATCACAGGAAAAACTGGCTTTGGTACTAATTGGGCACAAACCTGAACAGTAATTGTCAGCATTCACCTCAGTGTTACTGTGCCATTCAACACCTCTGTGAGAGGTATGTATCTCACCCTCTGATTCCCGCACAGCCCCAGTTCAGCTGAAACAGACTAGGACCAATATTGTTATATGGGCCACCCGACCACTAGGAACAAAGCAACTAAAAAGAAAGAATTCAAAAAACGACATTCTTCCTGTCTCAGTACTAACGACCACCACTAGAGGGTGGGTCTGCCACGCTGTACTTATTTCTGCCTGCCAGGAAGGAAGAGCCCAGTTAGTGAGCTCATCAGGCTCTGTGACTCCCACAGGAGGGGTATCCATTGTGTGGATCAGATCAGACTTGCTGTGTGCTCACAAAACCACTCCCACTGCCACCAAGCGCTCAAGGTTAGCAGGTACAGCAGAGCACTCAGTGATTCAGAGACAAAGCACTCATAGGAACACCAGCCCCATTGTAAATCTGCATGGACACAAAATGAGGGCTATGCTTTAACTTTTTCGCGCGGGGGGGCGGGAGGGAGTGGATAATCTTTGTATGACACAGGAAATAGAACTCAAAAGCTACACACCAAAACGTTCGCAGTGTTCTCTACATGTGAATGGTGTGCTCCAGAGTTTTAAGTTCAGTGTTGAGCACACCTTACTTGTCATTATTTCGAGTAATTATAAAAACAATTATCATACTCAAATTATAGTCACTCCAAGAAATTGGCTCTATTTCCCTCTTGTATAAACCGAGGATCAAGAATATTTTATTCCCAGAAAAACCAAGTGACTTATCTAATCGACATGGCAAGGGGCGGGGCACCCAGACAAAGCCCCAGGTCCTCACTGACCCTGCCTGCCCAAGTGACCTTGGGCTCCTCTCCAGCCTTCACAGGAGGAGCCCAGCTCCTGCCCGTCAAGCAGGTTTCCAAGCCCAGCACTGCCCTGGAAGCCGCCCAAGAACCAGGCCTCAAGCCCTCTCAGTCAACTGACTGGGCCGGGGTGGCAGAGTGGCCCAGCCACCATACCACCCGCCTGGTTCCGGTTCTATCACTCCGATCACTCAGCTCCAATGAGGAAGTCGGGGAAAGCCAGAGCCAAGGCCTGGGCGGGCAGCTTCACTGATAGCTGTTATCTCCTGCTCTGGGCAGCCCCACCCAGGTCTGGGGCCCACAGGCCTCCAGGACTACATGAGTCAATGGGGTACCGACCAGCACACCCGAACGAAGGTGAGTGACTAAGGCTCTGCAAGACAGCCCCTGCCTGCCTAACCTGGGCTGTGTTCTCTGCTGGGAACACTGGAGAGAGGAGGACAGGCATGCAGACATCGGCTGCAGAAGGTCACAGCCTGCACAGAGAAACCACAACAGCTGCCAGGGACCTCGCCACACAGTCAGCCATAAATCTTCCTAGTTCTTATTCTCCGAGCCTGAGGCACATGCTCAGATTTATTTGGAATAGGGTTTGTAGCCCATGGGCTAATGAACTGGCTTTTGTACAGCCCAAGAATTAAAAACTGGTTTCATACTTTAGCTGGGTGTGGTAGGCCACACTTATAATCTACCTAATTCAAGGCTGAGGCAGGAAAACTCAAATTAGACATCAGCCTGGGCAATTTAGCAAAAAAGCTATCTCCCAAGAAGCTGAGATTTCAAGCACAGGCCTCTGCACTCAAACACAGGCTGTTTTAAAAAAACAAAGAACATGAATGAGCAGGGTGTGGTGGTGCACACCTGTTACCTCAGCACTCAAGAAGCTGAGGCCAGAGGGTCACTTAGAATACTAAAGAATTCAAGACTAGAACTGCATAGTGAGAGCATATCTTTAAAAAAAAAAAGCAACAAAAACCAGAAGAATGTGAGATAAACATGATGATGATACATGGTCTACAGAGCCTGGGATATGTCTTGTGGAAAAGGTCTGCCAATCCCATAGGAAAAGCCTTTCCTCAGGGCAACAAGGCAAACCATTTCCCTATGCCAATCACTCCATTTCTACACCACCAAAGACCGCCCAGGGATGGGACAGATCAGATCAGGGCACAACTCAGTGGGCCCAAAGTACTGCTGAGGCCCCACCAGGGATCCGCCCCTTTCTCTGGGATACAGCACACTTTCCTGAGAGAGAAAGTGCCTCTAACACCACCGGGGCCTTAACTGCACCCTGGCTGACACTCTGCTCTGAAGGCCTCTGCTTCCGGCTCTGTCACAATTAGAGGCTGAGGAGACCTCAGGACAGGGTACCCGAAGGGCAGGATCTGAGCCAGCATCACAGAGACCACAGCATCTCGAGGCAGGGTGGCCTCCCTGCCAGGGAGGGAGAAGGAAGAACAAACCCCTGGCTCACCTGAGGCGGCGGCGGGGGTCAGAGGGCGTGCCCGCACGTCGGGCCGTGCCGTAGTCCGACATCATGCCGTAGTCCAGGTCCTCGTAGCCCGCACTGCGCTGGTCATCCTCCAACCCATAGGGCTCAGGGTGGAAGCGGTGCAGGTCCATGCTGCTCCCACCCACCCTCACCTGGGGCTGGGGCCCATACACATCCTGCCGACTGGGCGCCCGGTAGCCCTCCATGCTAGGCCGGTAGCGCTCCTCAATGCGGGTCACCCGGGACAGGCTGCCATAGCCATCAGGGCCAGCCGGGTAGCCATCTTCGTAGTGGCGGCCATAGCCGTCAGGAGGGTAGTGGAAGTTCCGAGGGAGGGTAGCAGTGCCCGCCTGTCCCACGTAGGGAGCCGGGCCCCCATTGCCATTCTTCCGGAAGTCTCGGCCCAGAGTCTGGATGTAGTTGTTAGAAACCGAAGCAGCATCCACTGGCAGCCCATCAGGCCCCACAGGGAGTGGCTGGACCGTCCGCGTTGTCACTGTCTTTACAACTTTCTTCACCTGTGTCAAGGACAGTGGACTGCTTAACAGGTCGCCACGTGCAGCCAGCCAGGCCATCTCACTGCCCAATGATTATCCGGCCTCTGCTCCCCTCCACAGACCGTCGGTAGCAGCCTTCCAGGAAGGACACTGCCTCCCCCACACACACCGTGAACCTGCCGTAGACCAAGCCAGCCCCGGTCTGCAACACTGCCCCAGGCCCTTGATTGCCCCCCACTCCAACCCCAACCTTCCCGGAGCTCACTGTGGTCTCTGTGCGGCGTGTGGTCCCGTCATCCGAGGTCTCCACGGAGACCACTGACATGGCTCCCTCAGGGTCCTCCTCCGTGTAGGTCTCCACGATCTGCCCTGGCTCCTGCATCCTGGGGATGGTGCTGTACAGAAGGTGACTGTGATCCTAGCGGAAAAGACAGCAAGCAGGAAACGACCACTGAGCCCTGCGGTCTACCGTGTCCTCCTACTCAGAGCTCAGGGACAGAGCTGACGTCCAGGCCTTTTCCATAGGACTCAGCAATTGGACTTTTTTCTGAGCAGTAAGCACAGGGCCTTTGCACCATCCCCCACTTTTATTTTTTGAGACAGGGTCTCGCTAATTTGCCAAGTTGCCTAGGCTGGGTTTGAACTTGTGATCCTTCTGCTCAAGCTCCCCAAGAGCTGGATGACAGGCACAGGTACCATGCCCAGGTCACACTCGGGGGGTTTTTCTGGGGCTTGTACAAAGGACGGCACACGACATTTCCAAATCCCAGTCACTTAACAAACATGAACCACGGTAACCATAGCCACGTCAACACCCAAAGCCCAGAGACAGCAAGTTTAATTTCCAGTTCTCAACATCTGAAGGAGCATGGACCTTGTGGACTGCTTACCTCCTCCACCTAAGGGACTCTTCAAAAGAGCTGCCTGCCCAACAGGGACGGTTTAAGATAAGCCAGAAGCCCCCCAAAGCACCATCTTTCAGCTGCCTCTGTCTAGGTAGATCTTCCTTTACTGTCTAAGGCTCAAGACCAGTCAGATTTCAGGTAAGAGTTTTCACAATGCAGAATCATTTCCGCCCTAAAAAGGTAGAGCAGAGCCCAAAGACGGACTGGACTGCAAGGAAGGGGGCAGCAGACAATATCGTGGTCATTAAACCTCCCCTCAGAACACGGGACAACTGAGCCCCACCCTTTCACCTTCCAAAGTGAAGGAAACTAGAGCATGGGTGCTCAGCAGGCGCCAGGCACCACGCAAGACACCCGTGTGCCTGACGGGCCAGCTGTGGAGGCAGAAAGGCGCAATAAAGCAGCCCCAGCCTAGAGTGCGGAGGATTACCTGGGGTCCACTGAGCTTCAGATCTGACAGTTTCTGTCTCTCAAGGTCAGCATCGCCCCCAAACCGGCCATTCTGAAACACAGCCCACAGAACACAGTTCATTCTCCTGGCCTCCTTTGCTGTAGCACACACCAAGATCTCCCCACACAGGAGAAAATCCTGGTGTAAGCACTAGGAAAAGATGTGTAGGACCCCTTTGGCCTAGCACTCTCCTCACAAGTGGAACCAGACCTCTGGCTCTGACCAGTTCTGCTTAAGAACAAGCCCCTTCTCCCTGGCATAGAACAGATATTCAAAAATGATTTGCTGGGGCTGGGGATTTAGCTCAGAGGCATAAGCGCCTGCCTTGTAAGCAGGCAGTCATGAGTTCGATCCCTGGTACTGATAAAAAGGAAAAGGACAAAAAAAAAAAAATGATTTGCTAGCTGGGTATGGTGGTCCATGTCTGTGATCCTAGCACATAGGAGGCTGAGGCAGGAGGATCCCAAGTTCAAACCTAGCCTGAGCTACATAGCAAGCCCCTGTACAAAAAAAAAAAAAAAAAAAAAAAACTATTTGTGAATAAACAACAGAGACCATAGGTAACTGTTTTGGGAAACCCTCACAGGAGAGCTAGGAAGGCTAGCTCTGAAAGTTTCCAAGAGGCTTCTTCATTGTTCAAGTGTTCACACTCTAATCCTAGGGGAAACTCCCATCCCAGGACACCTTAAAGAAAGCAGCAACAGACAGAAGAATCCCTTTGCAAACACCAAGGACACTGGCTCCTAAAGGGTCAAGAAGTCTCAATGCTCTCCTCACTGAGGATGCACGCACATCACACACTCCAGAAAGTCATCCTGAGGCTGCTGTCCCCAGCACAAGAAGGAACTGGACAACACTGTGCCACAGGAGGGGACACTCAGACAGCCAGGCCCAGCCCTGGTGGGCCCTGCTCCCACCCTGTCCCCTTCAGCTGGGAAATGCTACAGGAGAGGAAGTACTTTCAGGAAGGAGGAAGGGTGTGACTTCACTGCTGAAGAGAAGTTAAAAATAAGCACCAGAGAGAGAAACCATGTATTGAACCCTGGAATTCCCCACCAGCTCATTCCTGAGCAGCCTACTCTCTCCTTTCCACACTCACACATATACGAAGCACCCCGAGCCCACTGTCCAGCATCCATGTAAATCCCTGGGACCCTGCAGACACACAGCCTCCTTCCAGTGCGTGATACCCAAGTAGAATTCTGTTCTCTTGCCCAAGTAACTGCAAGACACATCAGCACAAGGAACTTTCGTAAAAACTACATGAGTAATCCTAGCTATTGGGAGGCTGAGCCAGGAGGACTACAAATTCAAAACTAGTCTGAACAACTTAGCCAGATCCTGTCTCAAAATTTACAAACATTTTGCCAGGTATGGTGGCACAGGCCTGTGATTCCAGCACTCCTGAGGCTAAGGCAGCAGGATGGCCACAGTTCAAGACTGGTTTGAACTACACAGAGTTCAAGGCCAGCCTGGGCAAGATACTGAAGCCATGTATCAGAATTTTTAAAAGAAAACAAAAATAGAACAGGCTGAAGGCAGGCATGGTGGTACACGCCTGTAGTCCAAGTGCTCAGGAGGCTGAGGCAGGAGGATCACCATGAGTTCAAGGCCAGCCTGCATTACATGAGACCCTGTCTCAAAAAAACAAATAAAAAAAAAAAAAAGAGGTCTGGATAAAAAGCTCACTGCCAAAGCCCTGGGTTCAATCCCTAGGAACATAAAAAAGAAACAACAAAAAAATCCAAGTGCTGTTCTGCTTTAGATCCAGAGTTCTCGCACACAGACAAGTGTACACACACATAGTAACCCTCAAGCAGAGCACAGCACAGTGGAGCTGGGTGGATGAACTTCAGGAAACAATCACTTCTCTTTCCTAGCACAGGCTCCCCAAGTTGCAGCAGGGTCGGCCCGCACAGGTCTGCCAGCTCCTGGGGTCATCGGGCTGGACAGCACAGCAATGCCACTCTCCAACTCCAGCCACACAGGGAAGGACAACCCCATCCTCCAACACAGGATGAGCAAAGCCAACAGAAGAGGACACGAGGGGACACAAGGACAAAGCGGAGCAGACTGCATCACACCTCCACGCAGGCACTCTCCCCGGGGTGCTCACCCTGGTCTCCCGAACTGTAACTGTTGACACCGAGGAGGAAACCAAAGCTCACTTCAGCATGGCCCATACTATACTGTGCATTGCTGTCAGAACTGCTTCCCACTCCAGCTAAGCGAGGGGCTGTTGGACGCCCACCAGAGCAGCAGCCCACCCACTCGGTGCCATCGCTGGAGAATACGCTGATCACGATGACCAAGAGGCAGAGACCCGCGAAAGGTGGCAGCCTCCGGCGGGCCCGCTGCATCGGGGTTACCTGGTGCCGGCGGGTGAGGGTGCCGTTGGCCAGTAGAGAGTTGGCATCCTGTGGTGAGACCCGGACGCGCTCCAGCTGCGCCGAGACGTGGCGCCGCTCCTCCTCCAGCGCCCGGGTCAGCTTCTCAAACTGGGCCTCCTGCTCCTTCACAGAGGCCAAGATGCTGGCGGTCGACTCCACCTCTGAGTCGTCCATGAAGGTAAGGGGCGGAGCCGCCGCAAAGCAGGGTAAAGAGGAAGGTGGCCCAGAGGAAGAGGAAGAGGGGGAGGCCCCTCACTTCACACTATCGGGAGGGCAGGGAAAGGAGAGAAAAGAGCACAGGTCAGAGAAGACAGGTGCATCACCACCCCCAGAGCCAAAGCCGCCACCCTCAAAGGGTTCCCTGCAGTGCGGAAGGCCAGCCACCACCGAGCCAGAGGAGCCCACCACCAGTACACACACCAGACAGCCCCACTGGTGCCCAGGACAGGCACCTGGGTCCCAGACGGTGCTGCCTCCGGGTGGGGGAAGCAACAGTGAGAGCATGCTAGGCGCCGTGGGTCAGCGCAAGAGATCGGACTCACTCTCCTTCCCTGCAGAGTGTGCTAGTATCTGCCTAACCCAAGCCTCAGCTCCAAGGTCCAGACAAGACTCCAGGTGCTAGGGTTGGGCTGCCCTGGAGTCCATGGGCACAGACCTCCTCAATTCTCCCACACTGCCGCAGTAGTGGCAGAATACACTGTTAACAAGCCAAGTAAGAACTGGGCATGCTGAGCAGGCATGACAGCACGTGCCTGGAGTCCCAAGCTCTGGGGAGCTCCGGGGAGCTGTGGAGGGCTGAGGCAGGAGAAGTGCCAGTTTGAACTCAGCCTAGGCAGTTTAGCAACTTAAGGAGGTCCTGTCTCACAATTTAAAACTAACTAATCAACCAACAAACAAAAAGGCTGAGGATGTAGCTCAGCACAAAGGATGCCAGGTTTAATCCTCAGGAAATAATGAATGAATGAACGAGTGAATGAATGGAAAATACTAGCTAGGATGGTGATACACAACTATTAATCCCAGCTACTCAGGAGCTGGCACAGGAGGACTCACGCTCAAGCCTGGACTGAGCAATTCAGTGAAACCCTGTCTCAAAACTGAGAAGCTGGGGGTGCAGTTCAGTGACAGAGTGCCCTTGGGTACATCCCCAGTACCAAAACAAGGAGAAATACTTTAGAACTTCCTACCACCAAAGGTGGAAGACAAAAAGGTCACTCTGCCTTCCGCAGCTCTATACTACACTGAGGGCCAAGGTGAACCTCCACTGAGACAACAGAAACATGTGTCAGAGGTTCCAGGCATATGGTTCTTCAGCTTTGTGGAGCAGGAAAAGGAGGGCTAAGCTCAAATGCAACGCTGGCACTGTCAAGGAGTTCAAACCTTAACCCTCCAGCTGAAGCTCCCCAGGGAGGTCTGAACAGAGGTCTCTCCGCTGGTTCCAACGCAGCACACACCCAGGCCCCTGGGGGCTCCTGTGCACATGCTTTTGGTAATGAATGGCAGTTACTGGACACACCGTGTGGGACTAAGCTAGCAGAGCAGGTGCTCTGGAGTCACACTGCTGGCCGTGTGCGTCTATTTCCCACTTTGCAAGCTCCAGGAGATGCTGTGGCCAGTCCAAAATACATGCTGGTGAAAGGCAGGCTGGGGAACTACTCCCCACCCTCTCACCAACCCCTAAAGAAAAAAAGCACTTAAAATACTTGTAACCTTAATAAATAGATTCCATACACACCTGTTAAGAGAAGGGTCGTAATGGGTTGGTCTAACACAGACAACAGCCCACTCTAGATTCAGAAAAATCATGAAGAAGCATCCCAGCACCACAGCAAGGAGGAAGCAGGGGAGAGAGCTGCAGAAATATTTGGAGGAAAAATGAGAATGAGGAGAAAATAAAATATACCCAATACATGCAGTCAAGAAAGCAAGAGGAGGTGTCGGGAATGAAAGGAGTCACTGAGAACAGAGGCAGGGTGGCTTCCTGGGACAGTTGGCCTCTTGGCCTGGCCTCTGCACTGGACATCAGGCCCACAAAAATGGTTCTTGCTGGAGCATGGACTCTCACACCACAGCCAGGGGCAGCAGGCCCAGCAGGCTTCACTCCCCACGCTGCTGCGGCCCTCCTTCCTGCCCTAAGGCAGAAACCTCCGAGGCAGGCAGGCAGGCAGGCCCAGTCCTGACACGCCCGAAAAACCACTGGGAAACTGACAGCAGGCAAGTGAGGACTAGCCTAGGCAGGGCCTCTTGCTCCAGCACCGGCACCGGCACCAGTTCCCACGCTCCGAGGGCCCCACCGTGCGCCAGGGCCCAGGCCTGTCTGCCCCACAGCCCGCCAGGCTCAGCAGCAGCAGAAGCAGCCACAGGAGACCAGCTAACTCCTGCTGATGCCCGGTCCCTGACCATGGCTCTTCCCAGAATCCCCTGCCCAGTGCTGGGCCCCAGGGACCACTGTCACACCCTGCTCTTCCAGTTCAGGGCTCAAGGCCACTCTCCCCTGTTCCATCCTTCACTCCCACAGCTGCTCGGCTGGCACCATTTTCCTGCTGCACTCCCGCATCACCACCTCTCAGGCTGCACCCTAGCCCAACCCTGCTCTGTGCTGTGCACGCCCGGGAGCCTCCCATACCGAGGTCACCCAGGACTGCACGCTCATGGACACATGCGGCTCCACCCTACAATCCTCCTTGTGACCAGAGCCCAGACTGCCACCACTATGGGCACTTGGGGCAACAGCACTGCTGGTGGGCAGCACCCTGCCCCAGGGATCATTGTTGGGCCCCAAAACTCTAATTCAACAGAGGGACTGGGTGGGTGGGAAGGAAACTCCCGGGCTCTGTTGGCAGGGTCAGGGCAGCCTGGCCCTGGTCCTGGCTGGAGAAGTCCCTATAGCAGGCAGAGGAGCAGCAGGCCAGGCAGGGGGCTACCACGACATCAGGGCAACGGTGCAAGCTGCACAGAGGTGAGGTCGTCAGTTGTTTCAAGGTTGGTTTCTACCTCCCAATTACATTACTTCACAGGGATGTCTCAGCCTCAAACTATTCAGTGAAGCAGAAGCAGAAGTTAGCCAGATGCAGAACATCTGCGAACTACAGGGAGTGGCCAGGTAGGTTTCCCCACACTAGTGGGTCCCACCTGCACCTCTAGAGTCCCCAGCCACCAGGCCACCACGGATCTGCTGCACAACTCCCTGCTGGGCCTTGCCTGTGAGGACCAAGGACCAAGGAGCTAATGAGTACCCAGGAACTCACACTCAGCACCCTGCCAACAAGGCGGGGTGCGGGGTGCCTGGGCCTTACAGCAAGGAGAAAAACTCGCAGAGGAAAGAACCACTCTGGGGACCACATACCACAACATTTGTCTTTCGCTGTCTGGGGACTGAACCCACACCTCCACACTGCGCTGCCCCTTTTTAAAATTTTTATTTTAATTAGTACACATAGTATGTACTGACTGCACAGGGAGTTGGCACACGTACGTAAGTACATATCACCTGTGACCTCCTGCCTCAGCCCCCCACAGTGCTGGGATTATAGATATGTATCACTAGTCCAAGCCACAAACGATGAATTTACACCTAGGGGTACACCATTCTGAAGCCTACAGACTACACAGTCCAAATAAAAGGGCAGGAAGATATCACAGGCCAGGTCATAGGCCCAACAACCCCTCGGATCTTTCTTTTTCACCATGACAAGAGAGGAGAAGGCTGCTATCCTTCTTTTTAGTTCACAGAATTATGTAGTCCTACTTACACATGACAGAGAAGAGAGAAAATGAGGGGAATATGAAGGCCTAACACTGAGATCCAATGCCTCTTTTCTGGGCCACACACCACAAAAAGAGCCACGGACCATGGACCGCTGAGGGCAGGCAAGGCAAGCAAAGCCTGTGAGTCCCATCTAGGTCCATCTCTGAGGGTTCTCAAGTGGACCACAGTCGCTGTCAGTGGTAAGGGGCATCAAAGGACTTGAGGTCGGAAGAGAGACATGGAAGCCAGCCTGGTCCTTCTCCTGGAGCTGGATTTTCCAGGAATAACTGCTTTTCCTCTCGAGAAGCCTAGGTGCTGAGTCACAGGATCGCACCCACTGCACCCCTTTCTGCAGTTACCGCACCCACAAACAGTCCCTCATTCCTGCAATGACCAGAAGCATCTGTCCCTTGTCAGAGCTCCAAACCAAAGCCCACTACACTGAACCAAGTGCCCGGAAGAACCCATGACGCGATGATGCCACGCAGGCAGCACAGCAAAAGCAAAACGAGCAGTGAGCAGGAGGGTGGGAAGGGGCACCCTGTGATCCCAGCACTCAGGAGGCTGAGGCAGGAGAACTGCCATCTCGTGGCCAGGCTGGGCTACACAGCAAGCTCACAGCAACTACACAGCAAGGCCGTCTCAACCCCCACCATCGTGCCAGAATGACCTGCTGTACCATAAACTGGTGGAAATATACTTTGGAATTATGATTCTAAAAGGCTAAGAATGTAGGCTTTGACGTACACACGGTAACTCATGCCTCTAATTCTTGCTACTTGGAGGCTGAAACAGGAGAATCAAAAGTATGAAGCACTGGCAACTTAGCAAGGCCTCAACTTAAAGTAAAAGTAAAAGCCACACCACATGGTGGTGCACACCTATAACCCTGCACTAGGAGTCTGAGGAAGGAGGACTGCTGTGAGCTTGAACTTGTCCTGAGCTATACAGTGAGTTCCAGGCCAGCCTGGAATACACAGACCTGCTTTAAAGAAATAAAATACAGCACACATAGCACTATAGAACTGTAGGACACAACATTCGAGCCAGAAAGGATTTGCTCCGAAAAGTCAAAGTCACTTATTCCTGTCCAATCACAAACCCACAGGCAGAAAATTGACTTGTTATATATTTTGACTTGTTTTATATATATATATATATATATATATATATATATATATATAATATGAATATATATTTATTCATTTATTTACTATTTGTTTACTTATTTTGAGATAGTCTTACTATGTAGTTCAGGCTGGCCTTCAACTGAAGCAACCCTCCTGCCTCAGCCTCCTGAGTCCTTTGATTACAGCCGTGAGCTTCCCAACCTGGCTCCAAAGGCATGTATTTGTCCACATTCTCCTGCAACTCCTGGTAGAAAAACTGCTCCCACCAGAGTGCAAGGTCTGAGTGCCTTGCACCCCAGCCTGCCACTCTGCTGGCCCTCGGAAACACAAGGTTCCTCACTGCCCTGGGAGAAATGCTGGCTCACCTAGCCTACAGAGCTGACCTTCGGTCACAACACCAGAGCCCAGTGCACAGGCGACACCTGCAGTCTCAGCCACTTGGGAGGCTGAGGAATGAGGATCTCCTGAGCCCAAGTGCTCACGCCAGCCTGGGCAAGAAGCCATGATCCAGAAAAGAAATCCCAAGAACAGCCTGCTCACCCCACCATCCTAGCTCCACTGCAGGGTCAGCCCTTCCACCTGGAGCACTTCCTGAGCCCACCCGAGCCTCTCCAGGGAGCTAAGGAAGTCTCTGGGCAAACCACCTTCCACCAGACTCGAGGGTAATAAACAAAGTTGTTTCTTCATACACTCATGGTCCCTGCGACTGGATGGCAGAAGTGGGAAGATCTGGGAGGGTCACTTGTATTCAGGAGTTTGAGCCCAGCCCAAGGAAAGCTAGAAGACTCCAGCTCTTTAAAAAACAAAAGCAAGAAAAACTCAAACAGAGGTTGAGGGGGAGTGGCAGCACACACCTGTAACCCTCGTACTCAGGAGGCTGAGGCAGGAGGGTCCCAGGTGTTTGAGGCCAGCCTGGGCTACACAGTGAGTTTAAGACCAGCCTGAGCTACATTTCAACACCCTGTCTCAAAATTAAAAATCAATAAAAGAAAGAAAGATGCATATGTATAATCCCACCTATTCAGGAGGTAGCTGAGGCAGGAGGATCACAAGTCCTTTTCAGGGGGAGGCAGGGATGCAGTTCAGTGATAGAACACCTGCCCAGCATGCTCAAAGTCCTGGATTCCACCCCAAACACTGTAAGAGCAGGGCTTTGGGGCTCCGTAGTACACACGTGTGGTCCCAATAAGCAAGCAGGAGGCTGAGGCAGAAGGATCACTTGAGCTCACAGGTCCAGGATGAGCCTGGACAACAGAGAGACCCATCTTGAAGAAAACACACTTGTAACGTAACAGCTAGACTAGGCACTTCCTGCTCTCCTGCCCCACCAGCAATGTGGGGGGAGCCAAACCCACCACAAACTGTGAGCTGACTGAGGTGACCGTGGGACAGACTCAGAGTGAGGAAGAGTGAGGCTCCCAGCCAGCCAGGGCCCAGGCCCAAAGAAACAAAACCTGCTTCTCCAGGGCACTACGTGACACCCAGGACTGGTCTGACGGGTCCTTGGGTTTTCAGGGGCCGCCTTCTGGTCTCCGGGTCTCCCTGCCCACATGCCTCTCCGGGCCTGCTTTGGGATGGCAGCACTCAGTCTCCTCTCCATCCCAAGGTCTAAGACACACAGTCGGCAGTCACTCACCTGGGTCGGGCATCTCTGCCAAGGTGCTGGCCTGGCCTTATAAGGAGAAGCAGGACTTTGGGAGAGGCATCAGGAAACAAAAGATCAGAGGTAGGAGCACAAGAGGGAGGTGTCAGAGCCAGTAAGGGGAGAGGCCAGAGCCTCTCTCCTCCCACAAAGGCAGGCAGAGAAAGGGAGGCCAGGTACACAGAGAAAGAGAGAAAGCGCCAGCGGAAATGGGAAGGTATGCCGTGGCTGAGTCTCTGGTCATAAAAGACAAATCCTACAATAACTAGGACCTCTTGAATTCCCCTCATTTGGCTAGAAAGAAAATGATCACCGAAAGGCTTGTGAACCATAGGGTTGCTGAGGTCACACCACAGTCTGAGCGCATTTTCCTTTTTTTTTAAAGGGGCAGCTTCTCAACAAACCCCTTACTTCCCACCGGTGGCACCGAGCTCTTTGCCCAATCCTCTTTACTGGGTCAAGCAGCAAGACACTGTCCTTTGCCTTCTGACAGGCATAGGGGACATGTAGGGGACATGCTGCCCTTTAGGGACAAACACCGAGAACCTGTGGGCATGGTGGCACATGCCTGTGACCACAGTGCTCCCAAAGGACGAGGCAGGAATCCTGCAAACTTGAGCCCCCACCTAGGCAATTAGCGGCTTGATGAGAACTTGAACTCTACAAGGCTAGGCACAGAGGTATGGTGGTACAGACGGACCAGGCATCCCAACCCTGGGAGACTGAATCGGGAGAACAGCGAGCATGAGCCTGGCCTGGCTAATTCAGTCTCAGAATTAAAAACCTCAAGAGGCTGAGCTCTGGAGCCCATGGCAAAAGCCCTAGATTCAAGCCACATATAGCAGGAGGAAAAAATCAAGGGAGTATCTGTTTTCTTGAGGTAGGGTTTTGTTAGAGTCTAGACTGACTTTGGACTCACCATGGAGTCCAGGCTGGCCTGGAACTCACAGTAATCCTAGGGCTTTCGACACCGCCTGGCCGATGGGGGAAGTGGTAAAGTCCAGGTAAAGAGAAAATGCCTTTTTCTTTTTTTCTTTTTTTTTTTTTTTTTTTTAAAGTATGGGGATTGAATTCAGGACCTTAGCACTGAGCTACATTCCCAGTCCTTTTTAATTTTTTTTTTTTTTTAATTTTGACAAGATCCCACTAAACTGTTCAGGAAGACTGATCCCTTAGCCTCAGGCCTTCTGAGCACTGAGACGGCAAGTGTCTCCGACCACGCCCTGCAGGAATCAGTATTTCTCTTCACTGAAAGAGCAAATCCAACTCTAAAGGAAAGAAAAGTGGTTTATTCCTGATCTTCCCATTCCCCTAGAAGTTATCACACTTAACCCTCTCGCGACACCCTCAAATGTGAAGCCTCCCCTCTCGCGACACCCTCAAATGTGAAGCCTACAGGCCCAGGACAGTCTCAGCTCCAGGGTCAGCCACCACCACTCCTAGCGAAAGTTCCTTTTTATGGTGAGTAAACTACACTTCAGGAGTGATTAGTATCTTGCCCGAGGCCATGGGCAGGAAAGCAGAAGCACAGATGCTCTATTCTGATTTACTTTTTGGTGAATTCAGATTGGATCTTACCTTGTCATCTAGGCCAGGAAGCCCAGGGTGCCCTCACACGCCCTCCTGCCTCAGCCTCCCCTGTGCTGGTTGATATCAGGTGTGTACGACCGTGCCCAGTTTGAACACAGACATTCCACTCCACCCCACCCCAGGATCTTCTCCTTGACGCAGCAGGAAGAGGAGTACGGATTTCTATGCTTCCACGGAGTAGTCAATTCCAAGTACAAAAGAGAAATAAACAAAAGGAAGCTTTTTGTGTGTCTAATGGAAAGAAAGGACAATAAGAAAAAAGGGATGGAAACAGACAGATCTCTGGGTTTTTGTTTTTGAAACAGAGTCTGCAATGTAGTCCAGGCAGGTCCTGAACTCACTATGTGTCTGAGGATGGCCTCAAACTATCAGAGATCCTCCTGCCTCAGCCTCCCTAACACAGGGATTATAGGTGTGAGCACCACAAGAGGCTCCTGAGCTTCACTTTAAAGAGAAAGACCTTAATCCTGAAGAAAAGATCAAAGAACCAGTACTCCAGGAAAGGTGCTAGGGACAAAACAGGTCCCACTCTGGACAATCACCCACCTTTCCAAGGCCAGTATGCTCAGAAACATGGCTACCTACCCTGTTCTCTTATCACCTCCAACTCAAGGGAGAAAATACAGATGTTCCTTCTCTCATTCTTAATGTCACATCTCACCAAACCCAAAGCAAAGGCAGGCTGGAGTGGGAAAGCAAGCCTGAGACCATAGAGTGGAGGAATTATTCTGCAATCTTGAGGTATGTCAGCAATCTGCCTCCAGGGCAGCTGCCCTCCTGGGCAATCAAAGGCTGGTTTGTGTGGCTTGCTTGCTTGCTTGCTTGCTTGCTTGGGGCAGGCCGGCTGGGAGAGAAGCGAGGACCCCGTGATCCCCAAGTGAGAGAAGTCACCAGCCTCACCACTGCTGAAACACAGGGAGAAAAAACAGAGCAAGAAGCAAAGAGGGAGGCAGGGACAAAGGATGCAACAGGTGCTACCGCAGTCCAGACCCAGGGGAATTCCAGGACACCACTCCCCGGTTCTGGGCAAGCCAAAGGACAGGCAGACTTCTCAGCCCTGCAGCAGCCAGAGGCCATGCTAAAGAGTGAGCACTAGGACACAGGGCCTATCACCTGTCTCGGCCAGCAAGAGCAAAACAAAGAGCCGAGAACCTCATTTAACATTTCTCTCCCAGAATCCCCTTCCTTAACTAAATCCCCCTGGCCATCCATAAATAACAGTAATACACATCACCAAATGGAGGACTACTGGGCTGCATCAGAACTCACACCCTCTGGTCCTGGGCAGCGCAATGCTGAGACCCATGACACCCACAGAGGTCACTCTCTTCTCAGCAGAGCCCCAGCGGAACTGCTCTCCAGGGACAGAGAATTCACAGGAGAACCACAAAGACAGCACCCCTCCACTCCTAGCTTTCTCACTTCCTGTCACAGTAGCACCAGACCACAGTCTCCCAGAAACAAACAAATACAAAGTGCTGGATTCTGGGCTGCGGGCCAGCCGCATTCCAGGGCATCCCATCTACCAATCACCAGCCGTGCTCCTGCTTTGCCCCACTCCATTCCTTATCATGTTAGGGAAAACAACCCTCCTCCCAGCCCCAAACCAAGGCTGGGCAGGACAAAGCTCAGGCAGCTAAGAACCGACAGATCTGGGAGCTGGGGTGGGAGGTGGGGGTTTTCAGGGGAAGGGGTTTAGAAGCTTCCTACCTAGCAGGCCCCGACAGTAGACAGTAACACAGAGGGCTTTAAAATACTCGGTCAAATTCAGTCCAGCCACATGAGACACGCCCCCAAGGCAGTGTCCTCCCTGAAATCTGATCACCTACCTGCACTCAGTCATGTAACAGTTCTACCGGAACTACAAGGGTCATAGCCTCTGTCAACCGGCTATCACCCAGTCCTGCCACTCTCAGAGTCCTTCGGACTCTTCCCCGCAGCACAGTGCTGAGTCCTGAGCAGGCCCCACCGAGAACAAACAAAGGCAGCAGACTCCACCCAGGCAAGCAGCAGTTGATCCAGTGCTGGGGCAAAGTTCCCTGCTTCTCCAGGGGAGGAGAGCACTGCTGGGAGCTGCAGTGTAGCCTGTGGCTGAGAGGTCACAGCAGCAACCTCAGCCTTTCCAATTGGGTTAGAGATCTGCAACCCAGTCCGAGAAAAAGAAAGCCTCCCTTCCTAATAAGGACCTCAGCTGGGTCAAAGAGTGAGAGAAATGATACATTTTTCTATGATCTTAAAGAGGCCACTGGAAGCAGCCCTAAATACAAAGAGCTGGACGCCCCACGCATAAAGAGTACTATCAGCAGAAATCTCCACAGGGACATTCCAGCCACTAGCCAGCAACATGTTCTCTTTCCCTATCTTCTCCTTCCCATCCTCTTGGGCCTCCCACATCCCTTTCTTGGACCTGCTAAAAGCACTGTGGACCAAACCCCAACCTCAGCAATCCATGAGGCAACAGGAGCTGAATCTAAACGGATACAATTCAGGAAGATTAAGTCCTTATCTGGACCTGGTACAACAAGGCAGGGAGGTAGGGCAGGAATACACAACTGTCAGCACTACAGGCTGGAGGTAAAACAATAGCTAGCAAAAGAGTAATCCACTTACAACACCACTTCTTGCAGCAAGCAGGAGCCCAGCACTGAAGCACACAGAAACCAAACTTTAAGGTCTCCTACCCAGGACAGAAGCAGACTGACTTACTTGTCCTCTCAGGGATGCTGCAGCTGAGCCTGGGGGCGCACCCCTGTCATAGAGCACTCAGGAGGCTGAGGCAGGAGTACTGTTTAAAGTCTGAAGCCAGCCTGGGCAACAATGCAACATCTTGTCTCAAATAAACCAAAAAAATAAAAAGCCAGCATTCTCACCCTATGTCCCTTACTTACAACAGACCAAATCAATCAGACTCAAGCACCAGATGCCAGCAGACAAGAACTAAAACTAGTAGCATCTAAGAGAGCAGAGTTTTCTGAGACACTTTCAAATAGGGAAAGCTGCAGAAGACACACCCCAGACCCCACATGGAGTGCTGCCAGTGGCTGCAAAGGATGCCTGGCAAGTTCTATGCGTCCAACTGGGCAGGTGAGACACACAGAGCTCCGACTCAGAAACACAGGCTGCCAGTGAGGAGGAAGGAGACCGAAAAGAGCCTACCTCCGACCATGACCCAGCCTCACTGGAGGGCGACTTCGAGCAGGCAGCAGATGATGTGGAGAAGCCGACCAGAGGAGGACCAATGGTTAAGAAGTCTCAGAGGGCACCAGGCACCACCTCGGGAAGGACAGGACGCTGGCTGTCCAGCTTTCTCACCACCCTCTCCAAACAAGGCCCAGAGCTGGCAGGGCTGGAGGAAGGGGAGGCAGGGAAAGAATGCGGCTGGGAGCAGTCAGCTACATTCCAGCTGACCAACATCCCACAGAGCACTGAGGATGCCTGGGAATCCAAGCTGCGCTGGGATGAGGCTGTGCGCTTCCAGTCCCTCCAGCCTCCTCCTGTGTGCTGCAGAGAAGGGTCATTGAGATGGACTGATGCAGGCACCAGCTGTTCCCGCTTCGCCCACCTCCCCTGCTCCTCCCACCCCACCCTGTCTCCGGCCAGCAGTTCAGACCCATTTCAAACACAGAGCACAACTGAAATGCCCCACTTAACCGAAAGATGAGAAACTTTTGTTGAGAAACTTTTGCTGCTTATTCTCAGTTGTCCAATGGGTTTCAATTCCTTCTCCACAACTACTTGGTTTATTTTTTTTTTTTCTTTCTTTCTTTTGGTACTGGGGATCAAACTCACAACATCATGCTTGCCAGCAGGGTGCTTACACCGCTGAGCTAAATTTCCAGTCCTATTTTTAAATATCAAGGAATATAAAGGAGGAGTATATAAAATGACATGTGGGAGATTAGGTTTCCTGGACTGCCAAAGCAAACTAGTGCAGGGCTCCTGTGTAAGATCGAGCGGACAAGGACAGCCACACCTCAACAAGATGTGACGTAACTTCCGAAGGCCCAGTAACTGAGAGCAGCATAACCAGTTCTCCCCCACCCCAGTTCCAAGTTGGCCAGAGCTGGGTGAGGAAGTGAAGGAAGCCAGCACTTCCTTTTCAGACAGGAAGTAAATTGGCCTTTCCTGTCCAGTTTTAAACAAATTGTCCAGCTGAATTTCAATGCTAACATCCTTTCCTGAGTTTGTTGCACAATTTCAAAATGGAGACACAGTCTACAAGTTTCCCTTCCTCCATACCATACATAACCTCCACATCGCAGGTAACACCTGGAATTCAAAATTCACACTAGTCAGCATGCTGATGCACATCTGTAATCTCAGCACTCAGGAGCCTGAGGCAGGGACATCATTGCAAGTTTGGGAGCAGCCTGGGCTACCAAGTAAGCTCAAGACCAGCCTGAACTGTACAGGGAGACTCTGTCTCAAAAAACAAAAAAAAAAAAACAACAACAAAAATAAAATTTCACTCTAACCACCTCTCACCACATCTACCACAGAAACCACAAGGCTTCTGTGCTTCTCATACTACTGAAATAGCCACCACCTGAGAAGCAACATGTAACTTAACTCAAACATTCAGGCTTTGAGGTCCTCAGAGCTGACCCATCACAATCACCAAGGAAGCTTTTTGAAAGGAAAAAAAAAAAAGTCTCCTCACCTCAGCTGCTGGAGAGGATGGCTAGAAGTTTATGTGTTAGGCTCATTTTTTGGTTGTTTGCTTGTCAGCAGTGCACATGGCCTCCAAACTGACCTACATTCCCTACCCTTTTGTTTGTTTCTTTGTTTCTTGAGTTGTCTTGAGACAAACTGGATTCAAACTTAGCACCCTCCTGCCTCTGCCTTCCATAATGCTGAGATTACAAACACGTACCACCACACCCCGAGTTTGGAAATTCCTGTTTTTAAAAACCCTCCACAGTGGCCAGGGATTAGGGTTAGACGCCTACTACACAGGAAATCCTGTCTCAAAAACCAAACCAAAGAATTCCCTCAAGGAACAAAGAGCTGTGCCATGTTTTCAAAGCCTGATTCTGTATAATATGCCAAAAGAAGTCTGAAGTAATAAATCCAGCAGTCAAGACTCAGGTGTTTCTAATTCATTTGACAATGTATAAGAGAAATAACCAGAAATCTGGATTCACGGGTTACTTGACATTTATCCAAGCAGGTTACTTTAACTTCTGGCTTAACTAAGAATAAGTAAGCATGGAACCAAATTGTCTTTCAAAGAACTAGGAAGAAGATGAGGGGCTAGTGACAGAGCTCAGTGGTAGAGTACATGTGTGCAAGTCTGGCTTTGATCTCAACACTGCAAAAAGAACAACAAAAAGCCATGCAAAAAAATATTTCCATAAGGAAGCACATGTCACTGAAGACTTAGCAAAAAGGGCATCAAAAGATATTATCATGGCCAAACATGGTAGTACAGGCCGGTAACACCAGCACTAGGCAGTTAGACTGCCATGGGCCCAGGCCAGCCTGGGCTAAACAGCAAGTTCAAGGCCAGCAGGAACTGCATACTGAGACCCTGTCTCAAAAAAACAGAAAGAGATTTTAACATTTTCTTAAAAGACATACTACCATGATAATCACAAACATCTCAGCCTCATTTATACCTCCTTAAGTAATACATATCAACCAATTATTTGAATCAACTTTAAAATCTCGGGAAATCTGTGACTGCCTGGAATATTTCCCATGCAAGATGATACACTTAGTTACTGGACCAAAGAAGAAAAGTGAAGGGGAAAAAATGCCTCCTGATAAAGGTCATCTCCCAAAGACGATATTAAGTAACAGGATGTGGACTAGCTAAGTATAATTAAAGGGAAGAAAGGAGGATAACCAGGTCAAGTACTAGGGCTAAAAACTCTCAACCAAGAAAAAGAGACACACACAGAGATTCTTTCAGTAGGTGACAGACCAGTGGAACCAGAAGTCCTGAGAGGAAAGTAAGAGTAGGTAAATCATGACATAGGTCCTCTGCTAAGCCAATATCCTTTCACTTTCCCAGATGGCACTGCCACAGAATATCAAATCACTGATTAGTGGATGCTCCTTTCTCAACTCCACCAAAACCAGCAGGTACTCTGATGACCCCTAATGAGATAAACATACCCATAAACAGGGGAAATAAAAACCTGCTGGTCAGGAATGATCACTGATGACAATGTGCAGGACAAAAACATTAAGTATGGTAACCTGTCCACTGGTCCTTCATCTCCAGTATGAAAAGGAAGAGAGGAGAAGGGAGGGCGGAAGGAGAAAGAAGAAGGAGGGAGGAAAACAGAAGAATGAGAAACAATAAAGAAAATCAGTCCCTGAAGCCTTCAAATCCCAATGATTACAGAGCTTTAAAGAAGCAGGAGGGCCAGGGATATAACTCAGTGACACAGTACCTGCCTGGCAAGTGCAAAGTCCTGAGTTCAATTCCTGGTACCAAAAAAAGGCAAGAACTTTTGGTTGAATAAATGCAGCAGAAGATAAGTGGAGCAAAGTATGATACTTAGTCAAATCAACACCTTTGTCCTCAAAAAGAAACTGTACCAGCTCTCAGCTGTCACTCCTCCTGTTTGGAGAAAAGTATGTGGCTAAGAAAAGGAAATTTGTTCTCCATTCCCAACCATGTAAACCTATTCCCAGTAGCTATAATGTCATTGTCCTCCAAAACAAGGTCATCAGCCTGTCCAAAACCCATGGCTCTGAGAGTTCCTCTCCTGGAGCTGAGGCAGAGACAGAGGGGGAGACTGGACAGGTACTCCCTCAACCCAGGGACAGCCCACAACAAGTGGGAAGAGCTGTCGCCATGGGGCCTGAGGCGAGGAGATAGCTTTTCCTGGTGCTGACTGATGCTAAGCCAGGTCCCACACTGCTCCCTCTTCCCTGCACATGGTGGGCCCTCTCTAGCCTGGCCTCTACCCTCTCCCCGTATCCTGCTCCCCAGCAACAAGGTGCCTCCGTGGTCTCTGCGCTGCACTGCCCACCTGGCCTTGGTCTCCAGACACCTCACACACAGGCTCTCCACAGATGCTCAGCCAGCACCTGAAGACAGCAGCATCGCACCAACACTGACAAGCCTCTTTGCTTACTCGTATTTGCCTCTCACAATGGTACAAAGTCTGCAAAGACAAGTATTGATTAGGTCTCTTTGGCTCATTTTATGCCAGGGCACCATATACAGCAGGCTTTCAAATTCCTTTTGGATGAATGAAGATGTTTTACTTCAAATAAACACAAAGAGTTAAATGCCAGAAAAACAAATCAGCTCTCATTTTCATTTCTACACATTTTTCCTAATTGTGATCTCAGTCCATAGCTGGCATCTCCCGCGGCCTCACCTGCCCACGTGGCTGACAGCCAGAGGAGACACTCAAGTGGCAACAGTGCCCCAGTTTACAAAGTCGTCACCAGAGAGCAGAGCTGCGCAAAGGTTACAGAGCTCCCCCACTTTCACAAAGGGGCAGGAAAGAAATCAGATTGGCACTGATTTCTCTTTTAAAATAGATTCCTCTATTTTAAAAGTGTACTGAATATACAGCAGCCACTTCATTTCAATGAGATTTACTTTGCTTCCAATGAAATGGGAACTGCAGGTGCTCCGATAAAGCAAATGAAAAGCTGACCTAGTTTCCATAACCGTGTCCCATGTCCTAGACCATTGGAATAAATTTTGGTTTCTTAAAACACAAGCTCCCTAAAGACAACAGCATTCGCTCCACAAAGAGAACGCCTGATGCTGCACTGCACTCCAAGGCCGCACAACAGGCATGCACACACAACACTCAGCGTGCATCCTGGAGAAGCCGCTTCCTCTCCCCTCCCGTCAGGAAGCACAGTGAGCGATTAGTTAGGGAATGAAGAGGAGCACTGCACATGAAAGCTGAAAACTAATCTAAATACTACAAGAGGACATCGATCTCCTTGAGTTACAACGGTAACCCTAATACAGATCCAACAGAAATAAGCCAGAAGCAATACCCCAACCATCCTAACTGCAGCACGTAAGTATTATTCTAGAATAAGAATCAGAAAGCTCCAATATCAAACTATTACTGAGGCAAAGTGATACCCATGAAAAC